AATTCTGGACCTCTCTTTGGTGGCCTAGTCAATTCATGGATAATTGTTCAGATAATACCCTCCTACACACTTAAACACTTGGCTACATTAGCTCAGAAGGCTGTGTAGGTAATGACTTTTCTATGCAGCAACATTGAAAGAAACCTGATAGCCGCAACTCGTTAAATGCAGTGAAGAATTGAGGTATTCTATTTACTACTTTATAATAATTGGAAATCTTTCAGCTTCAAGCATAAATACAAATAAATATACAGCAGTGCTGTACCTTACATATATATTGAGTATAAGTAGGACGAACGTGAGAGGGTGCAAGAAAGTCAGACAAAAAACAGAGACATTGAAACATTCCAAAAGAACTGCAGATCAAGAATTTCTGAGTAAGGGTCACTCAACCCAAAACATTAACTCTGATTTCTCTCCATAGATGCTACCAGACCTGCTGAGCTTTTCCAGCATTTCTATTTTTGTTTCTGGCACTGAAATACTCAGTAGCTCAGACAGCATCTGTGCAATCAGAAACCGATACACTCCCATAACCCGTTCTACGGGTTCAGACCCACAATGTAGTGCTGACATTGGGCCTTCCTCTTCTAAAAAGATCCTTGCTATTAGATATTTCTCTCTTCAAAAGACACTGCTGCACCTGAGTATTTCCTGTATTTTCTGTTTCCTTTACATTGCCATAGAATCCCTGCAGTGTGGAAAGCAGGCCATTCAGTCCATCGAGTCCACAATGACCCTCTGAAGTGCATCTCACCCAGACCCATCACCCTCCATCCCATCCTAGTAACCCTGCATTTCCCACAGCTAATCCACCTATCCTGCATATCCCTGGACACTATGGGAAATTTAGCATGGCTATTTCATCTAACCTGTACACCTTTGGACTGTGGGAGGAAACTGGAGCACCTGGGGGAAACCCATGCAGACACAGGAAGAATGTACAAACTCCACACAGAGGCTTGAATCAAACCTGGACCCCTGGCGCTGTAAGGCAGCAGCACTAATCACTGAGCCATCATGCGCCCCAAATGAGATTTAAATAATGATTAACATCCAAATACCTTTTTGGTTGTATTGCTACTTAACAGCAAATTACTTAATGTTGTAAAAATGCTGAATAAACTCACTTTTCACTATAACACAAGTTATGGGGCTATTTTGTCATACTTACTGCTCCATGTACAGAAAGTGTAGGCTGTCAACACTGCCAATGCAGTTAGCAGGATTTAGCCAGGGTAAAGCCAGCAGCAAGAGAGCTTTCATTCTCAAAGGATCAATGCTGATATTATGCTCTATAGTATACTTTGCCTCTCCAACAAGGACTCATAGTCCAGTCCGACTGTAGCACAAATCACTTCCTGTTTTACAGCTCAACATCATTTCTGCCTGAAGACTGGTCCTCTTGACTTAAATCTCTTCAAAACTAAGCTGGACAAAACATCATTGAAATGTAAGAAGATTACTGAGTTTGATCGTCTGCTGGTTGGTTGGAGGCGGTGATCATGTAGAAAATCTGTTTGGGTTCTGACATCCTTGTGCACAATTTAACAAGGTAACTGGAGGTAAACAACAGTGCTCAAGTCACCAAGTCTTACGTATTTAAGTTAGGTCATAATTAGAAATAATGAGCTACCATACTTTACGAACACAACAGTTGCTTTTATCCCTGCTTGCACTGTCAATGATTACAGCCTTAATATTAACACCCTCATCGCGTGCAGGAGGGGGTCAGGAGACAATTAAAAAGAAAAACGTAAAATCTGAGTCATGCCTCAACTCTGTGTACATACCCTTTGCCTTTTCTAAGGTGACAGGATTCATCATGTGATGTGTCCCATTGTGGTGAAAACAATTAATTCATCATTTTAAATCAGGTTCCCACGGTATTATTGACAGCCTAATTTAACTATAATAGTTACTTGGTTTTCCCAGGGTTCAGCATATCTAAAAGTGAAAAAGTTGGGAGATGATAGTTCAAGAGGATAAATACTCTTTACAGAACCCCTTGTGGGCCCACAGGAACAGGAATGCACTACTTGGCCCCTCCAGGAAGCTGTTGACTTTCTGCCCTCCATTGCCAGAATTCCCCGCTTCTATCCCCAGTCTCTCTCGCCCTCCCTTCAAGATTACTAGTTGTTATCTGACCACCACACCCCCAATCTTCAAGCCCCAGTCCCTCCCTCCCTCAGCCAGGGTTAACAGCTTGCTCCTTTACGCTGCCCCAGTTCATAGAATCATTGAATCCCTACAGTACAGAAAAGAGGCCATTTGGCCCATCGAACCTGAATCGACGTTCCAAAGAGCATCCCATCCAGCCCCACTCCTCATGGGGTTTTTCCTACGGCTAAACCACCAAACCTCCACATCCCTGGAGACTATGGGGCAATTTTTAACATGGCTAATCCACCTAAGGCACACATCTTTCAACTGTGGGAGGAAACTAGAGCATCAGGAGGAAACCCATACAGACACAGGGTGGGTATGCAAACTCCATACAGACAGTTGCCCAAGGCAGAAATCAAACTCATACTGCCTCCCTGGCACTGTGAGGCAGCATTGCTAACGCCTGTGCCACTGTGCCATTCAAGATTGCGGGTTTGTCCTATTGTACTCAATATTGCCATGGTACTGATACCATAGGAGTCAACAAATAGAAACCAGTATGGCCCCATGACATTTTAACAGGCCTGCTATTCTGTCAGTTTAGTTCAATGCATTTGGGAGGTGATGGCCTAGCGGTATTATTGCTGGACTATTGACCCAGATAATGTTCCGGGGACATGGGTTCGAATCCTGCCAAGGCAGATGGTGGAATTCGAATTCAATAAATATCTGGAATTAAGAGTCTAATGATGGTTATGAATCCATTGTTGATTGTTGGGGAAAAACCCACCTAGTTCACTAATATCCTTTAGGGAACGAAACTGCCTTCCTTACCTGGTCTGGTCTACATATGACTCCAGACTCACAGCAGTGTGGTTGAGTCTGAACTGCCCTCTGGGTAATTAGGGATCAAGAATAAATGCTGCCTAGCCAGTGACACCCTCATCCCATGACTGAATAAAAAAGAATTTTTGTCTTCGAATCACAAGATTTGGGTTTCAAACAACATGCACAATTTAAATATATAGAGAAACACATCATTAAAGTACTGAGAGGGTGTAATATTTTAAAATATATCTTTTGGAGGAAATCTATTAAATTGAAGGCTCATAAGCCTGTTTTGACAATATTTGGAGAAAAGCAGGAGCTGGAGTGTTCAACCTGTACCAGCAAATAGATATGGTCACTAATCACCAGTGGGACCTGGTTGATTGTCACATTTGTCTACATAACAAAATCTAACTGCAAAAAGCGAGTCAAAACAAAATAATTTTAACTGGTTTCTGATTCCCTCTGGTTGTTCTAGAAATCCCTGTGTAATATGTTGCAACTAAGCTATGTATTTTGAAAAGCTAATGACTGTACTAAATAGCCCATAAAATATTTTCTGCAAATGTGTTAACTAGTGCATTGCAAAGAGAAAATTAAACTCCAGACGGCAATAAATAATTAAAGTGTCTCCCATTGGCTAGCACCATGTCTGCAGTGTGGTCTCTGATGTCTGACATAGAAGCCACAGAATTGCAAGATTTTGCCACTGCCTAGCCTTTAATACTGAAAGGCAGTCTGGGAATTTGGGGGTTACAATCATTGTCATAGTCCAGCTAACTAAATTACTTCCCACATCCACTTACCTCTGATGAGGATTTTGTTTTCTTTTAGGGTGGTCACTGGATTTACACCAAAAAGTGTTCACATAAAATGTGAAGAATAAAACTGAAATATAAAACTGCCTTCAATGTTTAACTGGTTGAAAGAATTTCAGAGTCTGCTGACCTCTGTGGTTGTGTTAAGATGAAAAAGCAGCTGCCACTAATTTAAGTGTAGGTCCATCTGGAAACAGAACACAGGACTGAGTGTGTAAAACAAAAAGAAATGTTGACACCTCGAGAGCTGGATGTAGTTGTAATAAAATGAATCTTTCAACATGGTAGGCTCCTTTAGTTTAGTTACAATACTCAAGCGGCCAAAAACCAGCTTGATTCTTCAAAATATACCAGGATATATTTCAATGAAATAGTTGCACTGGAGCCAACAGCCCAGGGGATAAACCAAGTCATTGAATTCAGTCTAAATACTAACATCTTGTGGGATTGATCAAAGAAATATTTGATTGGCTGTTCTTTAGGTGTTTGACACAGAGTTAGTTAAATGCTACTGAATCCTTCTGAGAGATTGAAGTCAGAGAGCACCCTACAGTAAATTGGACAAAAACAAAACAAAACCCAATCAATGCTATTGACTGCAATAAGTGGAAGCTAGATTGTCTCGTGCACTTTTGAAAGGCTAATTTTGATGAGGGGGAATAAATAAGAAAATAAACATACGTACACTCTTATTAAAAGGGTTGTGGCTCAGTTGATTTCAGACAATATTAACTTAACTTCAACAAGTCTTACTTTGTTGTAGAATTTTGTGACGTAGGATTCCACAATGGAAGATCGTGAAATTTGAATTAAATGAAAGTCTGGACTCAAAAGACAGCCTAGTGACAACCATCTAACGACTACCAATTCTTGTAAAAACCCATCTGGTCGCTTAGGGAAAGAAATCCACCGATCTTCCCTGGTATGGCTTATATGTGACTCCAGTACCATGGAAGTTCCTCCAGCTCCACACTGTGTTATCTCTGACTCCAGCATCGGCAGTTCTTACTATCTCCAGTATCATGAATGTGTGATTGCCACAGGGCAGTTAAGAATAGGAATGGACAATAATGGCTGATCCAGCCAGCCACAGACACATCCCATGAATAAGAAAAAGAGTGTGATTTCGTTGGTCAACCAGCAGTCGTTTTGCAACTCGATTGCCAAATTGGTTGTAATCTCAACACTAGATTAATTTCTTCATTAATTTCTTTGAGTTATATTTCTTCAAAAGCCAAGTGTACTTACTTGCGACGAAGATGAAGTTCTAGTTCGCAGCGCTGCATTACTCCAGTGCAGTGTTCTTTAAATGGACAGGCAACCATTAATTTATCCAGCAGTTTTTGCACTAGGAAGCTTGATTTCTTGCACACCTTCATACACAAGGGCTTCCTATCCATGGGACAGAAGTCTTTGGCCAAAAGGAAATTGGTAAGGCATAAAGTACAGTAAGTATGACCACATGGTGTATCCTGCGGTTGCACCAAGGGTTGGAGGCAGATGTGACATACGAGATCATCATCGATTTCATCCTGGTAATCATATGAATGATTTTCCTGAGGAAGGTGTGGCTGTCCACAACAAATACAAAGTGTCAGCACATCAGAATCCATATTGACTGCAGAATCACTTCATTCAGCAATACTCAGGGACAGCAAGTTTCAAATAAATGTCGGCCAATTATGTAGATCACTGGGGTTTCTGGTTAAATCCCACAACTGAAAGAAACACAGATAGAGACAATTAAACAACGGAAATTCTTCATTCAGCAAATAATTAAAATCTTACGAAGTCGAATTTAGCTACTGAAAAATAACAGGTCATATGGTCGCACACCAACGAGACAATGAGAATAAAAGAGGATGTGCACTCAAGGATATAGTAAGGCTCTTAGTTTGGAGGCAAGAATACAGTTCAAACAGGTTCATATTTGTTGGCACTCTCAGGTGCCTGAGGTTTGGGGTTTCAGCCACATTCAAGGGCTGGAGTGTAGTGTTTTGGCTGAAAGTTCAGAAGATTTGAGGCAGTACTACACTATTTCAACAATATGTTTTTCTGTTGAGATATTAAACTGATGTCTTGCCCTACCCCACTGTTTATATGAATGTAAATTTCATTGGCAACATCTGAAGAAAGGTAGGTATTATCTCAGTGCCCTGACCAATACACAAATGTGCCAAAAATTGGCCTATTATTTTTTTGCTGCATGCAGCATGGCACATTTGTCTACATTACCAAGTAATTGCATTTCAAAATGTAATTCCTCCAGAATTGTTGGAGGAGGAATAGTTTAAATGAGGATATGCTGAAGGCTGTGGATATACATCTCTGAAAATTTTCACACTTCATTTGATGCATTTTGAGTAGTTTTGAATCTCCATTAAAGACAACAACTGATTCTTATCCCTCCAACTAAAAAAAAAATCTTTTCTCCTAAACCTGCAGGGAAAAAAAAATTACCCTGCTTTTTAAACATCAGAATTAAATTATTCTTGCTTACAGTGTAGCATTTTCTCAGTAGCAGCTGGCAACCTATTTCAGGGTAGAAAGTTTACTCAGTTTCTTTTTAAAGTTGGCACTCTATCCGCTCACACTCTACAACCTGCACCCTGTACAATCACTGGCCAATTCATGCTGGTATTTTCCTTTGAGGTCCTCAGTTAAGTCTGTCACTGCTACTGCTCTTTCCCTGTCTCAGTTAATTCAGCTTCTCCCTCATTCTCCAGCACACAACTGAGGCTTGTGCATCTGGATGCTACAGTGATAATGCTGCACATTGCAGACAAGACTAGCTAATCCCTTGAGAATTCCTGCCCAAAGTATGCAGCTCTTTCCACATGTAATAGCAATGTAGAATCCTTACAGTCTGGAAAGAGGCCATTCAGCCCATTGAGTCCACACCAACCCTCAGAAGAGCATCCCACCCAGATCCACCCCTCCCACCATATCCCAGTAACCATGCATTTCCCATGGCTACTCCAGCTAGCCTGAACATCCCTGAACACTATGGGCAATTCAGCATGACCTAAACTGCACATCTTTGGACTAGAAACTAAAGCACCCGGAGGAAAGCCACACAGACATGGGAAGAATTTACAAACTCCACACAGAGAGTTGCCTAAGCCTGAAATCGAACCCTGGTCCCTGGTGCTGTGAGGCAGCAGTACTAACCACTGAGCCACTGTGCCACCAACAGCACAAGGTAGTGGTGCTCTGCCTGGGAAGGAGCTCAGTACAATTGGATTTATCTGTAAGAGCAAGCACATGGAACCTACTCCTAAACGACAAATGTCCAAACATGGACTGATGATGTTTACGTGAGGTTACTGGAGAACTCTTGGCACTGACAAAGACTGACCAATTTTAGATAAATGATAGAGAAAAGAAGGGGTACATTAAAAAGAAGTCCAAATGCTCAATTTCCAACTGATTTCATTTACTAGTTTGCATGTGATCAGTTTATGAAGCAAAATCTTTGCATACAGATACACGGGATGAGAAACAGATTACAAGGGCATGACCTTGTATATCAATAAAGTGATATTGACTCTTTGCTACACTGTCTCATGGGACAACTCCCAAGATCAGTAAATAGAAAGGGGATCAGCAATACCATTAGTGCGATAACAAAGTCAGAATCATATTAGTGAGAATCAGAAAAGAAAACCAAAGTTATCTTTTACAGTTTGGTTAAGTACATAACACATTGCAGTTTGAATCTTTACCAATAACCACCATGCTATATTGACAGACTGGAGGCAACCAACTTGTCCAAATGCGGACAAGAACAGGACCTGCCTGAAAAATTTGCTATCAGAAGACGCCCAGATATATCTTATTTTAATGACTTTCAAAAAACATTTGCTGTATGCAAACCTGGATTTTGCTTTTATGCTGGCATTGTGATCCTCCCTGAAAGAACCCTTGGAATGTGTCTCAACCTGTCGAGGTGAAACCAATATATGTTGTTTATTTAAATTCCAATTGGAAATCTTCCTCAGGCCTGCCCGCACAGGAGCTGAAACTTTTACTCATCATTTGAAACAAAATAACAGAATCCCAGTGAACAATGTTTCAGTATGTACTATACACAAAACCACTAAACTTTTTCTGTATGCATTGTTCATGGGACTTCAAAACAAAATCAAGCTCACCCTTATAATTTCTTGACATGGTTATGCGGTAAACCAATATGGTTTCAACAATTTGCAAACTAAAAGAAATTGACTGATGAATATGTGGATCTCAGTTCTGAATGAGCTGAAATAGTAGCTCCACAGATGGTACTAGTTTCTCTTTTTATGTCAGACTTCCAGCATGCAGTATTTTGCCTTTGGACTGGTATATAATTTACTGCCATTTCTCTTCCAGGATTACCTTCCTCAAAGATATTTTCCTGTTTCCTTTTTGACAGGATTTGCTCTTTGTTTTCATTATTTACCTTCACTGGTTTCTTATCCCTGAGCTGAAATGCTGGGCAGAGTTTCTACTGAGGTGCAGGCTGGTTGTCAGGCAGGTGATCTTGCAACTTCACCCCATTGTCTGGCATGACCATCTGGCGACATGTTTCTGTCTCTGGTCCCATCTCAGGGATGTGGCATCTGGGAGGTGATGGCTACTCACCGAGTGGAAGTTAGCTTTTCACATCCTATCTGGATCTAGACTGGCTTAATTGTGAACCCCATTAATGTAGAAAACTGTCAAGGTATGTCATGTCCACAAAAAGCACGACAAATCCTGCCCAGTCAATTACCACTGTAACACCATAACATCGAAGAGCAGAGCAGTAGAAATAGGCCATTTAGCCCATCAAGTCTGCGCCTATTCTCAATCATCGGTAAAGTGATGGAAGGTGCCAAGAACCGTGCCATCAAGTGGCACTTACTCAACAATAATATTCACTGATGCTCAGTTTGCGTTCTACCAAGGTCACTCACCTCCTGACCTCACTACAGCCTTGGTCCAAACACTGGTAAAGGAGCCAAATTCAAGAGATGGCATGAGTGTGACTGCCCTTGACATCAAGGCTGCATTTACCAAAGGTGGTATCAATGAACCCTCACAAAACTAGAGTTGATGGAAATCATGGAGAAATTCTCTGCTGGTTGGAGTCATATCTCTAACAAAGGAAGTTGCTTGTTGGATGTCAGTCATCTCAGCTCCAGGGCATCTCTGCAGGAATTCCTCAGGGTGGTGTCTTAGGTCCAACCATCTTCAGCTGTTTCATCACTGACCTTTCTTTTATTGTAAAGTCAGAAGTGTGGATGTTTGTTGATGATTGCACAATGTTCAGCACCATCTCCAAATCCTCAGATACTGAAGAGGTTCACAATCAAAAACAACTTATCCTGGACAATATTCTGGTTTGGACTACCAAGTGGCAAATAACATTTGTGTCACACAAGTGCCAAGCATCAACCAGTGGTAAAAGTTTGTAGCATCTATTAAATGCACTACACCTACTTGCCAAGTCTCCTCAGACAACATTTTCCAATGTCTAAAATCCAGGAGGATATAGGGAATAGGTGCACGGGAACACCACCGACTGCAAGATCTTCCCCAACCCACTCACCACCCAGACACGGAAATATATTGCCATCCCTTCATTACTGAAGAGTTAAAATCCTGGAATTCCCTTCCTTACAACACTAGGGGCACAACTACAGCCTAAGGAGTGCAACAGTTCAAGTTGGCAGCTCACTACCATATCCTCAAGGGCAGGAAGATCTGAACAACAAACACTGGCATAGCCAAAGATCTTGATATCCCATAAATACATTTTTAAAACTTTTGACTTCGAGTCAGTGGGTTTAAATTCAAATTCAAAGCTAGAACACATAACCTAGGCTGGCCCTTAAAATGTTTTTCTTCTGATGATTGTTACATTTGCTGTGTTTTTCAGATGTTAATCAAGGTTTCATCCTTCTGTTGAGCTAGACATCTATCTTATTACTCAATTCAAGGAACAGCAAGGAGGTCTGGCCTTGATCTTGCCAAATATTCCTCCCCTGAGTGAAAACACCAGAAATGGCTAACCGGTTATTTACCCCTTTTGATATCTGTGTGACTGTGTGTGTGAAAGCTTGATGCATTGTTCCAATATAACACCAGTGAGTGTACTTCAAATGTAATTCATTGGGTGTACAATCCTTTGAAATGTCCTGAGGTTATGTTTCCAAGGTATCTATGTCGTTTACTAGTCTTCAATGTCATATGTGAATCAATGATTCATCTCACCTCCAAGCCAGATGGTTGTAGGTTTGAGACCGACTTGAGATAGTTGAGTCCCATAATCCAGGGTGGCAATCCCCAGTACCAGCACGGTGCGTTATCAGAGGGCCAGAACCTTGGAGCACTGAGCTGTCAGAGGCAGTTAGGACACCCTCTCAGGTGGATGCAAATAATCCTATGTCATTGTTGGAATTAGAGCAAGGCAGCTCTTGTAATCCTGGGACCAAAATTTGTCATTCAACTACATCACTCAAAATAAAACAAATTATCTGGTTGTTTAGGTTGTTATATTTCCAGGACCTTGCTGTGCACAACTTAGCTTCACTATTTTCTGCATTATGACAGTGATTGCACTCAAAGGTTCTTCATTGTCTGAAGTAATTTAGAACATTACAGTGCGGTGAAGCACTGTATAAATACAAGTTCATGCAAGTTTTTACCTTTCCACATTGTCTAAGAGATATAACATCTGTATAAGTTTAGTGTGACTTCAAGTTTGAACAGTCATCATAATGCTTATATGTACATAGCCTTGAATCTTTAGAAGGATGTTTTCTTTCTTTTTCTTTTAGCATTGTATTCCCTCATTTAAACCAGCACATTCAATGTAATTATTAACTTGTTCAGAAAAAAGGTTAAAACTGTTGAATTAAAAAGAGCTCTGAGAGTTCATTAGCTACTGCAAACAGTCATGACATCACAAAGTAGGTAGAATTAACAGAAATTAAACTCAAAAATTAAATTTAAGTTAGTTAATTTAAGTTCTACTAATCCTGGACAAAGTAACAGAATGTCAGGATTGATAGCCTTTCGAGTAAGTTGTCATACGGAAAGGGTTTGCTGAGATGAAGTTGCAAAATGAATAGGTCGAAACAAACTCAATCATTGTAACTTACCTACGTCCGGTGTCAGAAACACATTCCTTCGGTGGAAAAAGTTACAAAAAGACTGTTCAAATGTTCGAATCCATTAAAGCAAATTGTGAATTCACTGTTGCTGCACTCTTTTTACATAAGAATGCCATTGGTTAAAAATGAAGTTGCTTGAGTATCAGCCAATTCAAAACGTTTCGTTTCAAACATAATTGCAGGTTTTCACGGATTTTGATCCCACCCTACTATGCAATATCACCTCAGAAGCTTTTTGTTCCCTGGAGACTCCCTTGTGGCGATGAGAGACTCTTTTAAAAAAAAATCTTAAGGGCACCATGGACAAATGGAAATGTTTGGAAAATCTCTCCATTTTACAAGCCATGTGGAAATGCGGATCAGAGGTAGTAGGAACTGCAGATGCTGGAGAATCCGAGACAACAAGGTGCAGGGCTGG